GCATAACACATGTGATCAGTAAAACGTGGCTTACTGCAGTTTCCTACCATTAAATTTTCCCACTGAATATTCAACGTAATTTAATTTAGTTTAGTACCTATATATAATTTATCAGGACAAAACTATAATTTTTCTGAAATTTAATTCCAGTTTCAGGTATGTATTTTTTTCAATATATTTTATTCAGTTGTCAATATTATAAAATTCTATTAAATTTTAATAAATGTTTGTATATTGAGGTTTGAAAATATTTTAGATTCTGAACGAAGTGATGAATTTACTGATTTTACAATGATGTGTGTTTTTTTTTTTTTTTTTGTGTGTCTGGGTACAGAATAAGTAGTCGAAATAATGCTTCAATTTCAAACTTCGGGGGTGGTTTCCGATGGCAAAGTGAATATCTTTGGTGCATCCTTGGGCCATTATACAGGTAAAAAGTAAACATTTTCCAACAGTTTTCAAAAAATATGAGAAAAACAAAAAAAAAAATGATGGAAAAACGGGAATATTTACGCAAAACCAGTTTTCGACCAAATTGATTTTTTTTTATGGTTGTAATTCAAAAACTAATTACTGTAAATACTTGAAATTTTCACCAAATGTTTATGTTAATGTTATCTATATACAGTTTAATTAAGTATAATCAGTATTGAAAGTACAAGATAATGGTAACTTATAACCTATGTTTCAAGTGTAATTATATAAATCAACATCCGATCACACATAATTTTTTTCAACCATCATGATTTGGAAAGTCATAAAGAGAGACTATTTTTCTAACACTATCGACAAAACTTATATTAAAATTCTAAAATTTAACATACACATAAGCTATTATTATACATAATACTGCATTATATTACATCTAAGCATTTAAGCATTTATAACGTTTGGACAATACTTATAAAATAACTAAAACTATTTTTAAAATTGCTAAACATTAATCTACTCTTATAATAAAACGAGGGTATTTATTGTAAATAATAATTTTAACAAAAAAAAATATTATCACGCTGAAATTAAAAAATAATAATAATTACACTATTTGCATGAAACTGTTAGCAACCGATGGAATTCAAACGTCGAATAAATATTTGGGATATAAACAATTAGTTGACTACTGTAATCGTATCGTATCGTACATACAATTCGCACTTAAACATAATATGAAAATGGATCATACCCATAATTTCATCAAAACAATTTTTTTTCCTTATCGTTTCGTACGCTGTATATATTGCAAAAAGATAAAACTATTTAAGCCGATGTACAAATGTAAGGACTGCACTAAAATTTGCCATAGAAAATGCTACAAGATATTTATTAAATCCGAGCAAGCACAAACATCTAAAAACCCAGAACTGATCGAACCAAATCTACAAAAACATGAAAATGAAATCGTTGCCGATGTTCCTACTGAGTCATTGTGTTCTTCTACTAGTGTAATTGTAAAACCCCCTTCACCAACATCAACTCTTTTGAATGTGTCATCGTATCCTGTCAAGTCAAGCCCTTCACAATGTGTTGTGGAAATCGCTTCTAATATAGTTGTAAAACCGCCTTCACCAACACCACCAACTCGTTTTGATCCATCACGGCCGTACATTCCTAAGCGTAAAATCTTACAGCATGTTTCGGAAAGGTCTACGAGATTGGTTGGAAAATCGCTTATGCCAACGACGCCAAAAGTATCCGATGCCCAATCAAGGCTGTACATGGCTAGGCGTAAGTTTTTACAACACGCTACCGAAAGGTCTACGAGATTGGTCGCGAAACCGCCTACACCAACGACGCCAACAGTAACGGATGTACAATCAGGAATGTTCATACCTAGGCGTAAGCTTACGGATACGTCTACGAGATTGATTGCGAAACCGCCTACACCAAAGACGCCAACTTTTGCTGATATGCCATCATGGGTGTTCATGCCCCAGCGTAAGCGTTTTCAGAGTGATGCTAATATTTCCACAAGTGAAGTTATAAAACCACCTTTACCAACGACGCCTATTGTTTCTAATATGCCATCATCTCCCTCCAAGTCTAGTCCATTACCAATTACTGTGAAAACCTCCTCAAGCTTAGATGTAAAACCTCCTTCGCCAACACCACCAACTGTTTCTATTGTACCATCGTCTCCCACCAAGTCTAGTTCATCAGAATGTGATGTGGATACTTCTGCTAGTTCAATTGTAAAACCTCCTTCGCCAACACCACAAACTGTTTCTATTGTGCCATTGTCTCCTGTGAAGTCTAGTCCATTATCAAGTGTTACGGAAACCTCTTCTAGTTTAGTTGTGGAACCACTTTCGTCTACACCTCTCATTGTTTCAGATGTGCCCGAATGTCCATTCAAGTCTGAGTCTTAAAATATTGTAATTAAAAACTTTATTTCCATTTATAAATATTGAAATATTAAACATTTATATATTTAATTGAATACAGAGCGTATTTTATTTAAAATTATTGTGTGCTATTAAGTATTAGACATGGACAATGTGATAAAATTAGCAGATGGTAGACAGTTGACGGAAGAACAAGAATTTTTACGCAAAACCAGTTTTCGACCAAATCGATTTTTTTATATGGTTGTAAATATTCGAAATTTTTACCAAATGTTTATGTTAGTGATATCTTTGTCCAGTTTAATTTTTAAAAAATTTCGTTTCTTTTTGAGTTATTTGTATACCACTGATATTATCGATTTTTATGACAATTTTTTTTTTGGAGTGTCGATAAATTTTTTTTGGCCCAATAAAAATAATTGAAAATTTTATCCAAAGTTCCACATAAGTTATTCTTATAGCGATCAAAAAATTTTAAGAATACATAGGCACAAGTTTTTTTTATTAGCATTTGAAGTTCAAATATTGACAAAAATTCGTTAAAATCATGAATATTTGAAAACTATTTTGTAGGTATAATTCATAAAAATTAATAATTAATTGATTAACCATGACTTTTGCAAATGCGTCCTAATTGAAAAATAAAATATTTGTTTCAAAATAGAATGTATGACAATATTTAAGTATAATATATCCTAGACTGACAAATCATCTCCTTTAGAATCGTTTTTCGTATACAATGATAACTATCATTGCATTCAAATTTAACCTACCCTAGTTCGAGGTTCACCCCACGCCCTAATGTACAGCAGAGCGGTACCCACTTGGCCGCTTTTTTTTTTTTTTTTGATGATGATGATTTTAATGACCACTATTTTAAGTTAGAAAAATGCTGAATGATTTAAATTTCAAATGTTTTAGTCCATTGTTTATTGATTGGTTATTTAGATTAATTAGTTCCTTGGAAATTCACTATTTATTTCATACGAATAGTATACCCTAAGTTTAAGAATAATTTATCTTGCTATAAGAAGTGCACTTCAGTTTTTAACAATATAATTTTATTCCAGAGATCCGGAGACACTAACAATATGTTTTACAAAATTTAATTCTAACACATAATTGCCATAATGTCATCTGACTATAACTCAAAAAACTTAAAAGTTATTTTCTGTATTTCTTTTTAAATATAAATTGCGAATTTCGATAAAATTGGTTACCTATTTTAATTGACATTTGAATGCCTACAATGTAACCATGAACATTAGAGAACATTCTATACATAAAATATATAGTATAGCAATCAAAATATTTAGTCAAGTTCACAGATTATTCAATAAACATGTTTATGAATAACTTTTTGTAACTTCTTATAAAGAAAAAACACAAAAAAAACCAAGTAGCGCTCAATATAGTTTTTTGAAGTCAATGATTTATTATTGTTTTGAAAATGTAGGTACATCATATAAAACTAATACACCATTATATATTTTCTGTGATAATGCCCACGTCTGTTTTTATTTACTATTATTTTCAATATCACTTATTTTACGCGTATTGTTTATTTTCGTTTTCTTTATTTTAGGTATTCATATGTGTAATACATTTTCAACCAACAAACAGTTTCTTCTATTATTATTAAATATTATTATGTTTAGACTGTAATATACAACAAAATATAATATTCCAGTGCAATTATTTTTGTTTGATTTTATTTCAAATTAAAGATTAGTTTTGTTGATATCTTATACTGATTAATAATCAATAATATTAGAAAATGTTAATTCGGGATTAATCGATCGTTACTATATAACTTCAACACAAAACTACATTTTATAAGTGTAATAAAACACCGTAGGTAAATGATATTTTTCCAAATTCTTTTTTATTATTTATTAAATGTACCTATGTATTTTTATGTTAATTAATATATGAAACTACAGCTTACTTACCAGTTACCAATGTTGAAAATCGATTCAGCCGATTCTGCAGGTAAAGTCGACAGGTTTTCAAAAACTTAGCAACATAACAATTAAGTATTGATGACTTCAACATCGTGAATTTTTTTCAGTGCATCTCTGAAAAATTATTAATAATAACAACGTCAAGTTAATGTGTAGATGAACCGCAAAGCTGTGGTTTTAAATAATAGGTACATTAATAAACGTTATCAAAACAAATTTAATAATTATATTTATGTACATCAAATCATTCGTTGTTTAAGAGCCATTTATGCTAATATACACGTCTTTATAGCATTTTCTTCTGTATTTTAAATCGTTATTTTATCTGCCTGAAATAATTTTAGAAAATTATAGTTGAACATAAATAATTGCCGCGTATGCATATAATGTCGTCGATTAATTATTACACTAATAAAATTAATCAATCTAATAATATAAAACGATAATAATAGTATTGTACTATTATATATTATTATTCAAACATTTATGATTGTAATCTCAACTGCGATTATAAAACAATTTAAACGCAACGACGTTTTGCCGCCATTTGTTCATTCGTAATTTCGATGCCGTCATCGAATCCTGATCGTCCATTTCTTGTTTTTCGTTCTTTCTTCCATGAATACCGAAATCACATGCTCGCCCATATTATCAAGACAGTCACAGCGAATAAGACGATATAATAATAATATATTCATTCGCCGACACCGACATTTGATAATATAAAAAATATTCTGAACTACAATCCTCAACCACACGCGTTTTTAGGGTTTGACAAAACTTAACGATTTTACAATATTCCATTAGCGTAACTATACGCAGACACATTCAGTCCAATTGGCTATTCATCACTAAACGTGTGAAACCATGGCCACAATGTTGAAGACCAGTAAATTAATTTGTTACACTTGTAAGTCTTACAGTTTTTTTTAAACACTATTCCCGAATATGACTTTTCTATTGTATCTATGTAGCTATCTACTCTCTTTTTTATTTTCAGTGCCCAAGAACAAATCGCCAGCACATCTGAACCGATACTTTCAGACATTACACGTAAGTATATGCTACCGTGTGAAAATTTTTTTTTTTTTTATCATTGCCGATTGGGTTTTGTGCAGAAATACAATGTTCCCCTGCAGAGATGCTTAAACGACGTCTTAAAAAGACAGAATGCCGTCGGTCCGGTTGTGGGTTGTGCTCGAATGTATGCGGCACCTTCTGAAAAGAAAGTTTTCCAAAGAGTCAAACCTCATTGCAACATAGGCACCATTGGACATGTAGATCACGGCAAAACCACACTCACAGCCGCCATCACCAAAAGTAATGTTTCATTTTAACATATCTGAAGTTTCAATGTACCTATAACACTATTTTTATCAATGGAATTCAAGATTTAATATTTATTAGTGATTATATCCCGGAACATATTTAGAGAAAATATTTTTAATCGATTTTGAAATACAATAATACTTAAATTTTTTTCATATCTACTTTATTTTTATGATATTTTCAAATGTATGTGGGATAAAATAGGATTCCTATAGACGCAAATAGTTTGATGTCACTTTAACGATTAATAAAAATGACGGTTTAAAATAAACTATTATTGCGGTTCAATCCATTAATAGTACATAAATGTACATTAATTATTTTTTTTTTTTTTGTATTCAAGTCAATTTCTTAACATTTTAACTACTACATATTTATTAGCAAATCACATGTAAAATAGACAATTTATTCATCATATAATTGATAAATAAAAATCTTGTTATGCTTACTGTCATCAATATAACTTCAAACAGCATTAATCATTAGTTTTATTAACACAAAAATAATGTATAAGGAAAAAAACTCATTTGAATGTGGTTATGTGGTTAACTACTTACATGGTGTAGGTATATTAAGTGGCCAAATACATGCCAGCATAAAAAATATATTATAATATAATGTTGCGGCAAATTATTTTTTCCTTTGATATGTGAAGTACCAAAGTATCGTCATACTGTTTTATGATATGGTATAATAAACACTGAAATATTTTTGATTTGATTTTGGAAGTTAGTAATTAATATAATATAGTACCTATAATATTTATACTAAGTCGTTTATTTATTAGTTTTGTCATCAAAAAAAATGGCTAAGATGAAACAATATGCTGACATTGATAATGCGCCTGAAGAAAAAGCCCGTGGAATCACCATTAATGTTGCTCATGTTGAGTACGAAACTGAAGCTAGACATTATAGCCACACTGATTGTCCAGGACATGCTGATTACATTAAGGTAACAAAAATAAATAAGCAATGAAATATTTATTTAACTTACCAAGTAATTTATTTATTTCAATTTTTTTATAACCAGAACATGATCACTGGAACTAATCAAATGGATGGAGCTATTTTAGTAGTAGCTGCAACTGATGGTGCTATGCCACAAACCAGAGAACATTTATTATTAGCTAAACAAATAGGAATCGGTCATATTATTGTATTCATTAATAAAGTAGATGCGGCTGATTCAGAAATGGTTGAATTAGTTGAAATGGAAATTAGAGAACTACTGACTGAAATGGGTTTTGATGGGGATAATTTACCAATTATTAAAGGTTCAGCACTATGTGCCCTTGAAGGAAAAGAACCTGAAATTGGTAATAAAATCAAAACATTATATTTCTGTATTTCTTCTAAAGATGTAATTTATCATTTTATGTGTAGGAGCAAAAGCTATTGAAACTCTACTGAATGAAGTAGATAAATATGTTCCACAACCAATTCGAGATTTAGATAAACCTTTCATGTTGCCAGTAGAACATGTTTACTCTATTCCAGGACGTGGTACAGTAGTAACTGGCAGATTGGAACGTGGTGTAATTAAAAAAGGAAATGAATGTGAATTTGTTGGTTATAACAAAGTTTTAAAATCTACAATTACTGGTAATTATATTTAGTGTTTATTAATTAAGTCCACCATTGATATAAAAGAGATTGATAGGTACTAACGTACAAAAATTCATTAATATCGGTTATTACTGTATAAGAACATAGTAATATATTTATTTACTTCATGTTTTAATCATAATAATACTTTCTAAATATAAATAAAAATGTATGAATACTTATGATTTATTTTTTAATCTCAATATGCATTAATAATCCAATCCATAATTTTTAAGTAATAATCGATGTTGTACATTACTCATACCTATTTATGGCTATCTTGTCGTATGTGGTCTACCTGCAATTACGGCACACTTGTCGTATGCGCTCTATTACCCAATTTATCTTTACTATTGTGACTTAATGCTAATAAAGATTATCACTCTTTTACTGCATGATATAATTTTTAATCGTGTATTTAATCATTGGCTGACAGTTCTTGGGTTTACACGGTTTTAATTTTCACTTTTCAATATGCTTGCAAAAGAATTTTATACTATAATTCAAATTGAAGAATCAGCTACTAATTTTTTAATTTTTAAAAATCTTTTAGTAAATGTAGAAAATATATTATGCGATAAATGTATCTATAAATTGTAATCGTAATCTGTGCCGGCCCAGATAATATTATTATCTTCAAAATTATCTAAACTGCAATGTTTGTGGGAATAAAATAAATCTAAAAATACGGTTTCTAAATATTCCTATAGTTCGACTTATCTGTATATAAAATTAATGCTTGTACCTATCACCTCTGTATGCATATATGACATAATAAAAATAATTACTTCTATTACTTACAATTAGAGTGGTAAAAACGGTAGAGCGCATACTGCAGTCGTAATGTCGCCAGTAGAGCGCATACAACAAGATAGCCCTATTTATTATAGCTTATATAATAAGATGAATTGCCTTCAAACTGTTGTGCATTATCTGTTTTAATATCAAATAAATAAATGTCATGGGTTAAAATTAAATAATAATTTAGTCAAACATTTGTTTTCAATATAATAAATTATAATGACTATTGTGGCTGGTTACTGATTACTATTCCTCTACGAGCCTTAAAAATATTATTACTTCATAATAATTATTTCTTTTCTTACCTGCACTGAATTTATTTAATATATAACTTTATTAGCTGTGTACAATACTGTTACTAATCAGTATTCTATCACTTGATTATTATATAATATACAATATTAATACACTAGATTTTACATTGTTTAAAACAGATTTTATTTTTATTTATATCCATAAGTTATATAACTGTATGCAACTTAATATATTACAATAATAATGTTTAAATGCAATTTGAACTTATAAAATTTTATGTTACCATTAATGTAAAATAATCATCTAATAACCAAATACATATTTTTAGGAATTGAAATGTTTCACAAAATCCTTGAAGAGGCTCAAGCAGGAGATCAGCTAGGAGCCTTAATTAAAGGTACAAAACGTGATGATTTGAGACGTGGAATGGTGTTGGCTAAACCAGGAACTGTCAAAATGCAAGACTTTGTATCCACTCAGGTGTATGTGTTAAATAAAGAAGAAGGTGGAAACGGTAAACCACTTGTACCTTTCCAACAAATGCAGATGTATTCAAAGACTTGGGATTGTGCTTGCCAATTAAACATTGTTGGCAAAGATATGGTTATGCCTGGTGAAGATTGCTCGTATGTATAAACATTTTTATAAGACTATTAACCAGTTATTACAATAAATTAAATTAGCATAATCATTAATATTGCTATACAATTATTGTAATATGAATAAAAATTTGTTAAAATTGTTTATTTTATGAATTTAACAAATATATTAATGAGAACATTGAAATCAAATAGATATTTGAGATAAGAACATTTGGCTATTGCCTATTTTTTTTAATAGTACTGCATACGCAATTTTTATTTATTTATAATAATAGTAAAAATAATAATGATGATCAAGAGAATTTTAGTATGCCTAATTAACATTTGATTTAGGCCTGATTACATTTTTATATATGCTAATAAATAGAATTGATTATTAATGTTATGTTTGTTTTTAAAAGAAAGATATAGTATTTGTGATATCATGATAAGCTTTATTATGTAGAATAATTACAAACGTATTTTTCCAGTGTTGAATTGAAGATGATTAGACCCATGGTTCTAGAAAAGGGACAACGATTCACATTACGTGTGGCTGGTGCTACAGTTGGAACTGGAGTAATTACTGAAATTAAAAGAAGATTATTAGATGATGAAAGGCGAGGATTATTGGAAGGTAAGAAAGCCCGAGAAAAGAAAAATGCTGCATAAGTCATTAGTATTCTTCAACGACATTGCAACTCCAGTATGTACATAAAGTTGTCATTTTGTCTATCTCTGTTCTCACAAAGTGCATTATTGATAATATTGTAGTTTTAATATATTTAAATGTAAGCTCTAACATACGTTTAACAGTTATACTGTATTTGAACGTATTTGAAAAATAAAAACAATTTTATTACAACAACCGTTTTTATTTTATGTTATTGAATATCCACCACAAAATTGTATTAATAAAAATGTATTTCGAATAGCTAATCTTTATACTTAGTTTGGATCAAGAAAAAGATGAATAGATTGATTTTACTTTACGATGTATATGTGTATTATTTTTTTTTCATTGTATGATAGAAAAAATTCTTTGATTATTAATTTTTTAGCAATATAATACAAGATTTTTTGAAACGTTGCCCTTATCAAAATTAAAACAACAAGCTTGTAAAAATTTGAAAATTATTTTATGTTTTAAAATATTCAATTATAACAGTCGCTGAAAATATAACACTGATGCTTGAAAATATAACACTAAATTTCTTATAATAACCTAAACATATAACATTTTTGTATGTACTTCAAGCTAGCAAAAAATAACGATTTTAGTAATTTTTTATTTGAAAAATGTTATTTGTTGAGACTTTAAATTACTATGAAATATTTAAAATATTCAGATTAATTCTAGGCTATTTATAACTTAAATTTATTTTAATTGTCTTATTATACATTAATATTGACTATACTTATGTTTTTAACATAAAATTATGTTATAGTTATCATTATGTATATAATTTATCTTTGAGAGAATTGATTGAACCTACCATGTCAATCATAGAGTAATAAATTACTTTTAGTAATATAAATGTAGGTTGACTCAATATGTCTTTGCTTAGAAGCGTCTTTCATGTATACTAATTTTTCATTGAATTAAATTTTAACACATCAAATATCCATTACAGTGATCAACTTAATGACAATGAACATTTGACACCTACTATATATACTAAAGCTACTTCAAAGGTTTTTATTATTGTTTTTAAACATATATTATAATTATTAAATAAAAGCTAAACTAATAATATATTTACAAACTAAAACTAATTTGATACTTATATAACATATATTTCTTTGTTAATATATATTTTAATAAGTGGAATTCAAGCTTAGTATAGTATACATTTTAAATATTTTCAGGAAAGAGTGTGTTTTTACCACTGTCTGTGTTTAATTATTAAGTATCTAGTATCTACTTCCTTATACATGTTGATTTATTACCTATAATGGTGGTATGCTTATATTATTAGATTCCAGTTATCTTAAGATATAAATGCAATTTTACTGAGAATAAATGATTTTAAAAAATCTCAACTTACTTGACACTCAGTCATGCTGCAACTGGTTCTAGTAAATTAAAAAAATAGACAATTTTGATCAATACTTCTATGAAAAAAATCATTCTTCACTGCAGGTAAGTATCTTATATTTGATTTTTCTAAAAATTGTTATGAAGTATAAATATTATTCTTTAACAGAATTTAACTAATACCGTTTCTTTGTAATCATGTTCACATTGATAAAATAATATAAGGTTCTGGAACCCAAAATATTAGAAGTAGAACAATATTTTTCAAATTATTTGTATTCAATTTTAAGTCATTACTTTAAAAGTAAAAACACATCAGTTTTAAAGTAAAATAAATAATGAATTTTTTGTGTTTCTTTAAAAACTATGTTATTTAAAAATAATATAATTATTTTTTACAATCAATAAGTAATAAGATTCCAAACACATCTTATATTTTGCAAAAACTAATACCAAATCTTTTTAAAAAAGTAATCGAGAGCCATAACTAAATGTAATTTTTAAAAAATGTTACAATCGATAGAGCTATTTTACCCATGTCTACTATTAAAATTATTTATATTGTATGTTTAATATTCTACTAGAAGTTTCTGTTTTCTACAAAAAAAAAAAGTCTACAATTATATGGTGTCTTGAATAGGCAATTTAACTACACAAATGTTGAGATTCGTAAATTCATATTCTTCCGATATCTTAATAAAATATTATGATATTATCAATAAAAATTAATTTCTAACTGCTAACCCTTGTACATATTTAAACATCTTTATCAAAAATATCCCTCATTCGTATCACACCCAGCTTTTTCTACATATAATACTCGTTAATTTATTTTTTAAACATTACGCGTTATAAACGTTAGAACTATAATATAGCCATCACATAAATAACACTGTTGTCTCATACATACTTGTACTGTTAATGTTTTGGAAAAACGTTTATGTTTGTATTAATTTTCTATTCTGAAAGGATTACGTTATGTTTAATGGGGTGGCATTAGTCTACTACCCATCCGTAATTGTGGTAAATGTGATGTAGGGTGGTGCGTTTTGATGCGGTGCCAGACCTGAAATTTTTATTCTACTAGAAATAAAATTTACTATTAAATAAAAAAAAATATATATATATTAAATTATTAATATGGTCAGGATGTTAAAAATAGGATTCATTCCAAATTAACATAACGTTTTTACAAAGACGATTAGAAGAAATGTCTAGCAGCACATCATCATTATCCATGCCAAGAACTATAATAACATGGAAGTATATATTATAGTTCGGAAAATTTTTTATTCCTCAATACATGTACAATAACATTATATAATTATAATAAATAATAATAGGTAGCTATACCTACCTATATTACATTATTATATCACTAATCGCAGTCCTATATCCTGTGACGAGGACCCAAATACCAGGCCAACGTAGGTTTTTTTAACGGTCCTATTGATCGTCAATTCTTCCGCGATTGCAAAATATTTATTATTTAAAATGTTTAATAACACTAACCCTCCCTTATCGTTGTACAACCGATCTATCCTAGCATTAAGTTGTTCAAAATATACTATATGATTATTGTTTGCGTGCGATAAGCTCGTCGATTTTTTTCGTCACCCTCCTCCCCTCTTGTATATATGGCATCGGCGTCTTTGACCACCGCTGTAAAAAGGGAAAACACTCGTTCGCTGGTCTCGTACGACATCGTCAAGACGTTGCCGTAAACTCTTGGCCGTGTGTGCCGTGGACTCTTAACCGTGTGTGCCGTTGGGGTTCCTATCATTGCACCCTTATTATTTTATAACGTCTGTGCCGTTCTTGCCGCACAGACATTAATATATATATATATAACCACCTGTTATTATTTGGGCATGGATTTCGTGAGTTGACAGTGTACCTACAGCATAATCCATACCGGTGTTCCTGCAGCGGAGATTTCACGCGATCACGTTGGTCAAGACCCGAGTCGTCGATATTGGTGATATCCATAAATATTATTATTGTTCTTATTATCATTTGTTTTGTTGTATACCAATTTTTGTCACATTATTTGGGCAACCTATTTATCATATTATTATTATTAATCTATTAGCTCAATATTTCTATTATATAATATTGTAGCACGACGGCGTATAAAACAAATTTATTTATATTATTATATTTATTTTTGGTCACCCATCCCTTTTGCAGGTCACATTATTATAGTTGTTAGCGAGATAAATCACTGGGTATTATTTTCCCTTGTATAATATTTTTTTCGTCACCATTTAAGGCCAACCGCCATCCCCGTAGAAGTCCTTGTGGTATACAGTTATTTAATAATGTATATTAAATACATATAGACACTGTTATAAATATTAAATAATAGTTTTATAAAAAATCGTGAATAAGATATGGGATATATAATAATTTGATTGATATTCGTGTATAATTAATGTAATTATATATATGTCCTAAAGGTATATAGAAACAGACACTATTTAGTTAGCGAATGGTTGAGGTAGTTCATCAGTTTCTATTAGACCTTTGTCGATATATATATTTAATTTTTTTATATTCGGCTATTTTTGGTAAGTTGAAAAACAACTTTACGTTTCTAAAGAATGATTAAAGTAGCTTTTTGAGTTAATTGATTCCTTGTCTACGCATGGGCCATGACATAATATACTATAATGACACCTGATGGTATATAAATGTATAATAGTAAATAATTACGTACAATACAATATGATATACTTTTAAAGTACATCCAATTGAATACTTAATATACTTTTATACGTCATTGTTGAAAATCAATTTTAACATAATTATTCATTGTATGATTTATATAAATTTACAATATTAAAAACTGTACCTACAAAAAGTACTTAGAAATCGGTTTAAAAACAAATACGATGATTGACTATGTTGATTAAAAATCTGTTTAAATTTTAGGTTAATTTAAAATGGTTACCAAGACAAAAATGATACCGAAGAACGAAGATAATTTAATGATCAATACTCGAATAATGAAAATAACTGGATTATACTATTTATTGGATTCGCGGAGTCCAAAAATCTTTGGTCACAACGTGTTCAAATGCATATCCATAGTTCAAATGTCGATCCTGTCAATATCGTTGGTTTCGGCTATCGTAACTATTATAAAATTTTTTTTGGGCGACATCAATTCAATAATGCAGATTTCGATGTTAATACCATCCGGTGTACTCTCGATTGTAAAACTTTATAGTACTGTCGTAAATTCAGATACAATATGGAACTGTATACAGATGACATCTGTTGACGACTTGTCTTATAAGTATCATAATAGACGTATACTTAAAGATGGCCAATTGAAGTCCAAATCGTATACTTTACTAATTATGTTTATGTGGTTAAATCTCACAATATTTTGGGGATTTTCTCCTTTGTTTATCACAAACGCTTTTTTGGAAATAAAAATCAAAAACAAGATTAGCCGTTTCCGCTTCAACATATTAAATTTCATATTTCCTGACTCCGATCAATTTTTCAACGACAATTTCATCATTTATTACTGTATAGAATTTATTGTTCTGATACTATGGGGCCATGGCACAATGAATTTCGATATACTATTACTGTCGACAAATATTACGTTTAAGTATCAATTAATAACTATTGCAAATTCTTTTAGTACATTCAACATTACACATAATGACGTTAAGAGTAAGTTATAAAATTATGTATAGTTTTACTAGTTTTAGTATGTTTAAGATGTATAGTTATGCGTTGGTTACATTTTTTTTTTTTTTATTCCCTTTATATCAAGATGATTGCACAAAAATTGTTAAACATCAAAAAGAATCAGAATCGATGTTTAATTTCAAGAGTATTATTTACGATCAACAGCGTGTCATTAAGTAAGTTTAGTATAGGCACCTATACTGGCACCATAAGCGTTCGCATACACCAAAAATAGATAGCGCCCAATGCTCATATATGATTGGTTCTAATATTAAAATGATTAGACTCTTTAAAACTTAATATTCTTTGAATTAACATATAACAGGAAAATACAAGTTGTACACTATCACATATTATTTCCGAAAGAGTTATCGAGGCGGATTAACATTAAAGTTAAAATATAATTAAAGAGGAAAAATAAACTAATAATGTTATCAAAAATAGATAATTACAAGTAATAAACTTTGAACAATTGATTAATCAGTACACAATTACAATTAACTCAAAAAAAATTTTCAATATTTAATAATAACTAATAGTCATTACACGTTTAATTGTATACTGAGTTTAAAAATAAAATGCACACAAAGAATTATCCTAAATTTTTAAATTAATTTAAAAAATATAATCTAAAATTTATTTTAATAAATAAGGTATATTAATTGGGCAATTGGCAATTACTTCGGTCCGTGAAACATCACTGTCCTATATAGGCATACCGGTGTACTGGTTTGTGCGTACGCCTATGGTATCTAATACCTATCCTATATTGTGATTTTTTTCATTTAAAATTTATTACATGTGTTCATCTAGTAAGTACAGTCGTATTAAATTATCGTCCTATGATAGTTAGACCTAGTCGGTGTTCATTCTTATTTTTCGCAATTATTGCGACTAAAATAATTTATAGGTACCAAGTACCAATAGCTTATAGCCAATATGAAATTTTATATTTGGAGAACAATAAGGTTAAAATTATAAATTTATACTATAATCGAAAATTGATGTTAAGTTTGATATTCTGCAATATTAATACTAGATAGTTTTCGCAATCTAAAATGCTGTGTTATCACAAAAAGAAAAAGCTTTTTGGCAACATTATTGACCTCTGCAGCTTCTGATAATTATTCTAATACTAATACTAGTTACGTTAATTTAACTACAATGTAGTTATGGTTTTGAATAACTTAATTTATTTTTAGTACAAAAAAATAAAAATGTTAAATTATCATTTGTAATAAAATTTGTATCTTCTGCAGAATATTTAATCATACAATAATAATATGTAATTTGAATATTAGAATATCACATTATCTACATAATTTACAAAATTATCAAGGGGAGTAATATTTCATTAAAGTACTTACCTATTTGACATTTGCTATTCAATCATTTGAAAAATGATTTAATGATTTGATTTCAGAAACATGAGAAATATTTACCGAATATTTCGACCTGTGGTACTCATTCAACTAGCTTTTGAATTTTTAATTATAATTCTAGCATCCTGTGTTGTAATGATGGTAAAATTAATTTTATTTAGCTTATTATTATAAACAAATATAATATATGCGAAATCAGGTAATTACTGGGTGATATTTTTTCTTTATTCAGAACTATTTTAATAATATATCATTGATGTCTGCGAAGAATTTAAGACTAATTACAGCGATATCGACGTTTTTATTCCACGTTTATGTTATCTGCTACTTATTTGACGATGTTAACCTACAAGTACGTTACAAGATTGAATAAAACTAAATTATAATAATAATTATTATTATGTACCTATAACATATTATAAGAATCAATAACTTTTTATATAATTTTTTAGCATTGAAAAGTTAAATTTTTGTTAACGTGTAATGTAGATACCTATATACGATATGTGTTAATATATTTACACATTACACATAAATAGTCGGATAAATATATTGTCTGATGGCAGTTCTTCAAATCTCAAATGATTTAATATTTAACTATTTTATTTATATAATATAGGTACCTCATCGATCTACCGACTTATTACAACCATATTATGTCGTTGTTTACATTTTTTTTAGAAAGATTCGATAAATTTTGCTTTGTATAGTAGTGATTGGACGCAAAGCAATTTACAGCATCAAACTCTACTACTAAATGCCATGCAAATTAATAACGCCGAAAATCTGAGACTACAAGTGACAACAAATAAAATAGTAAATTTCAAAATGTTTACTCAAGTATGTACGATTTTCTTTTCTTTTATTTTAGTGCCAATTGTAAGCATGTCTTAAGAAATATAGTCTTACGACATTATTATATAAAATTATTACTCACTCGTTTTTGTTTGTGTATAATCTATAATTAATTCAACACCGTTCATTGTGTAAACGAATCCGTTGAAGCGAAATTGAATTGTGTCACCAATTTACAAATTTATAATCCATTATACCAAGGGTTTTCAACCTTTTAAACTCCACGCCCTCTTTTAAACTTGTATGAGTTCTCGTCCCACCCACTCACTCATTACTATAAGATTGATGTTCGCATATTTATAATCATAATGTTTATGTCATAAGTCATGACAGTAGCGTAGCCAGAGTTTTTGAATGGGTTAGGGGGTTTAAGGTTTAGGTATATTATACTAGTAGCGGGCCAAAACATAGAAAGCAAATAAAAGTCATTCAAAATATGCATTTTAATGAGAACTATTTTGTTTATATTGTAAAAATATTTGAACTTCATTACATTAAAAATTCATGGTGGGGGTACGCAGGGGGTACAAAACCAGATCCCCTGGCACTCCAAGAGTCATAACGTACTTTAATGTTGGTTATTGTGTTTTTCAACATTTTATCCCCACCCTTGAGATTTTTCACACTTATTTGAGGCACACCAGGTTGAGAACCCTCGCATTATACCATTATACATTATGGTTTATAAAACATAAATGCATTTAAAGTAACAATATGATTTTACGTCTGTTCATAGTTCATGCGGACAACGTATTCAATATTATCGGTGTTGGAAAAGATTTGTGCAAAGGAGATGTAGACCATATAATTATGACGAAACTTTAGCAGTGGACGTAATGTTACATCGTTATGTTATTATCTAGTATCCTGCAGAATATACACCCGAATAGAATAGTATTTGTAGGTAGATAATAAATGTGGTAGGCGCCGGATATTAAATAAACGAAAAACGCACGTACGGCGTAAGTATACGCTCAAGATCTGGTCAATTAAACTTGTAAACTATACGAATGATCAAATATCAATAATCATTAAACGTAAAAAAAATACGTCAACACGCCGGACGAACGTACACAACGCCAATACACACATGCACATGCAACTGTACGCCGGTCAAATAGTATAATCATAATGAGAAAAACATTATCGCTGTACGCACACAAACATTAAAAATTTGTACACCGCCGTGATCACTTCACATTTATACTTTATAGACATTGTTAGCTGTTAAGCTATATGTATGATTCATATCTTTCATCCAGGAAAATATGACTTTTCTATAACTGTTTGTGTATTTCATTTATTCATGTATTATATTGATGTCGATCGCAATAAAACTATTGAAAATACAATATATTTTATTTGTTTATGTTACGCATTTTACTAGAGTTTATGTATGATTATTGTTTGCGTATTATAGTCATACGCGGATATAAACAAGTTGTTTATCACTTCATCATATAGAACTATATATATCAGTATTAGCGTCAACATACATTTAGGTCAGGGTAATGAAGCGAATGTACTGAGACCACAAAATTTTCTTTAGCGATTGTCATAATACCAGTGATGTAGTCGTAATGTTTTTAGTGAGTATACGCTTAAAGGTGATTGAAATATAAACGTAGGGCTCTCCCCCCTCCATAACCCTTTATGCTACATTCATATTGTTTTATATTTATCATAATTACATACACTATATTACTTCCCTGCCGTAACTAAGACTTTACAGTCTACAATCATACTTCTAGGATATATATTATAATATATTTAAATTTTTTTTTTTTTTTATGATAACCTATATTGACTATATTGAGTTAATGACACACAGATAGCAAGTATTCAAGTAATATTAAGTTTTAATCAAATAATCCAACAGGATTTTATGTTTAAATTATACATACGTACCATGTTATTAATCAATAAAAATGTATTAAACCCAAAACTATAATTTTTAAATATAACTACGTAGCGTAATAAATTATATCTAGTAATTCAATTACTGCGAGCCGAACACGGCCGACCGGAAGCGTCCGAGAATCGTTTACGGGCCAATGGCCACGCATCCAGGGCCAGCGTGGCCGTGTGCTGGCTGAAGAACATGGTCCTGGTCAAGCCGTGGGACGATTGCATGTCCGCCTACGCCGCGAGCGGCGCGCCCGATGATCACGGGACGTACGCGGTATCGGCGTTTGGCGACCTGCTGTCGGCGCCGTATGGCCGGCCGGACGCGCGTCTGGTGGTGTGCGGCTTCCGGGACAGCACCGGACGCGGGCACCTGATCGCCGCGGCCGTCGACTCGATCTGTCACAGCATCTGCGCTGTGCTCGACGGACTGAAGCAGAGGCTGTCGGACGTGGTCAATGTCGAGTACGGGGACCGGCACAGCACCGTCCACTACTCGCCGTCGACAACGGGCGAACTCTACTTTTTACTTTGTTAATATAGTAGTAATAGAATATTGTATTATGCACTTCCTTTTTTTAAATATACTGTATCTGTATTTAATAATCTAACAGAAAGAAGAAATAATTTAGGAAATAACGTATAACGATTCAAACTATAATAGTATAATGTAAATCGTAAATCGTAATAACGTTAAAATCGTTAGACTTTTACACAGATCTTATATTGAATTGTATCATTTAGATCATATACATAGATTGTTTATTGCATCATTTTTTGGATAATTATAATTAATATTTTTTACATTATTAGTTGTACGGCACCACAACAAGAATAGTGGGGATGGATAAGCGGGGGATTGTGATACATATGATATTTACGGTATTTACGTTGCATTTGTTAAAAAAAGAACAAAATAATATATTAATATATTTTATTAAAATATAGCTTTAGGATAAAAAAATAAAATAAAATTTTGTAACATCGGAGGTTGCTAGTATATTTCTTAAGTTTTTATCAGTATGCAATTTCTATAATAAAAGAAACAATGTTTTCGGAAGAATATTAATTTTACCGCATGTATGTTTTATAAGTGGATAAGTTGCATTCTACTTTAATAAACTATTAACTACCTAAATATTTACAATCTCAGTAACACTCTATATAATATATTGGAGAAAAGTGACTATAATTTTGGCGACGGTTAGATTGTAGACGTATATAATAATTGTACAGGGACGAATTAACACGAGAGACGTTCGAGGGATTTTAACTCGATACATTTTTTTTTTATATTCTAAAACAGAACAAACAAAAAAAAAAAAATAAATAAAAATAAAAATTTTGCATTTTATAACTCTGATCGATTACATTGTAGAAACTAAGACACGCTAGGGCTACGGCTGAGCGGCCGTGAAATGATCCGCGGACAACTGGCAGTGCGGCACACTGGACGCGTGGCCGACGTTTAAGCCGATGGCCGGTGACAAATATATCACTGTAGAGGTGGATTTCCCATTAGGGACTGTAGGCAGCTGCCTAGGGTGGCAAAGTTTATAGTGTTTTATTAAAAAACATCAAACTTATTATATATATAAAAAAAAAAATTCATTACTTTATATTTATTAAAAATAATTAATAATAATGTGCGTATTTATTTTATATTTTTCTACTATATCGTACATGGTATACGGTTGTGGTAACTTGTTCAGTCGTTCACCTATTATTAGGGCGGTAAATTGTTGATGCCTAAAGCCGTTAAAAAGATAAATCCGCCTTTGCGTATCATACGGACGCGACGGACGCGTCGTATACAGCGGGCTGCTAGACATGGCCACCGACCGACCGTCCGCGAATCCACGCGTGAACGATTTTAAACTCGAGGTCGACAATGTTTGACTATTGCTTTGCGCGTAGTATATGAAAAAGAGTGGTGCGCTAGCCGCACATCCTGTTGCTGGCCCATCTCTATATATGTTTCCGTTATAGTAACCGTGGAGCCGAAAAGCCGGAGATTCGAATGTATCGATGATCCGAGCGCGGATCAGTCGCATTCGGCGGCTGTCGAGGCAGACAACCTGGCGAGCAGTTGTTACTCGTCCGAGAAGCTCCCTCGCGACCGTGGAACAAGACCCGGAAGTGGTTTGTGGTGGGAAGCGGTGCTGCGGGCGATGGCCGACGCGGTGGACGAGATGAGCCGGGTCGCAGTACGCCGGTCGCGTACGTAGGATCTGTGGCCATCGTCAACGAGATGGCCACGCTGGTAGCGTGGATAGCGGTCACCGGCAAGGCGGTGCACGACGTGGTCCGCTGGTCGGACGTCCGGATAGCCGACGGTGGGACGGACGCGGCCGCCGAGTGGCTGTTCCGGCGGTCAACGGCCGTGAAGTGCTCCGCGAACAACTGCAGCCGGTGCGGCTTGCTGGACGCGTGGCTGACGTGGAAGCCGACGGTCGGCGACACGTACCGGACGGACGTGACGAACGCGTCGTACACCGGTTAGGTTATACATTATTATTTTTTTTTATCTGTATAATTGGGCCAAAAGGGCCATTTGTATTATTATTTTTTATATCTGTATTATTGGGCCTGAAAAAAGCCTATATTATTATTATATTTATGTGGTCGTTCTTATAGCTTTATAGATTTTTATTAAACGGCCAAAAAGGGCCGTAATCATTATTATTATTATTATTTTTTATTATACCTTATATTATATTTTATTACTGGAACATAGAGTTACCATTTCTTTTTCATTGAATTACCTAATTATCCCTAGCTTTAAGTTACACACTCACATGTTTACACATGTACACACACCACCCATGCACTAGCACTCACAGGATTTGTTCGGCGATCCTGTCCACTTCCTGTTGAGTGCTATATATATATGCACAATTATGCACAGGTCGGTCGTTGTGTGACCGTATAAAGCGTATGAAGTATTTGGTGACCAGGTCGCGGGTATTAAAACAATTATGTGCTCCCGGCCCTTACAACGGTAAACAATTTTACAATTCAACATTTGACGCGTTAACATCTAAATACGGCATACAAAACCATTCAATGTATAGCACTATGAAAGCGTGTATAGCAGAACGTTTTAATCGTACACTTAAAGAAATGTATAGAGAGTTTACAGCACGAGTTTCGCACGAATGGATTTCTATTTCACCATCGTTGATTAACGAATATAATTTAATAATTCAAAACATAGGACAATAGGTATGACACCGGTGCAAGCTGATGCGATCCATCATCAGTGGTAATAAAACAAAGAAAAATTAAATTTAAAGCTGTTGATAACGTCCGTATTAGTACATAAAAAGGCGTGTTTATAAAAGGCTATTTACCGAGCCGGTCTACAGAAATATTTAAAATTGATAAAATAAACTATACGTAACCCATTACTTTTCAATTGCAAGATTATACCGGTAAACCGATTGCCGGTTGCTTTTATTCCGAAGAACTATTGAAAACAAATTTTTGTCAAATGGTTTGGCTTTGATAGCATTCACAACAGTTGGATAAATTAAAATAAAATACCCGTGACATTAGAAAATAACTTCAGTCGAGCCATAGACATGAACGTGTTTGGTGGTCAGGTCAAGTAATTTAAGGGATTGAAATACGAACTAATGGAGTTATATTTGAAATTAGAAATTCTTCTATAATGAAAGAATTCATTATTGCTATGTTTAAAGCCTTAAAAAAGGTTATTATTATTTCATATATACGACTGCATATAACTTATTTATATATGCTTTAAGAATTGCTAATATTTTACAAAATAAATTGTTAGTTTTTAAAATATATACATTTTTAGGTACTTTTTATTTTTTGAAAATAATTATTAATGTGTATTTATTCTTGATTTTTTTGAAGACAATAAAAATAGTAAAATAATCATTAGCATATAA